GCCCATGAGTTATTGTATGGTGAGAAAGGGAGAAAAGGAGGAGGAGGAGGAGGAGGAGATTGGATTTATACCCCGCCCTTCACTACCCAAAGGAGTCTCAGAGCGGCTTACAAACTCCTTTCCCTTCCCCTCCCCACAACAGACACCCTGTGAGGCAGGTGGGGCTGAGAGAGCTCTGACAGAAACTCCTCTTTTCCAAGAACAGCTGTGCCAGAACTATGGCTTGCCCAAGGTCATCCAGCAGCTGCAAATGGAGGAGTGGGGGATCGAACCCGGTTCTCCCAGATTAGAGTCTGCGCACTTAACCACGACACCAAACTTCTTTCTCGACCTGCATAAACCTCAATCATGTCACCCCTCAGCCGTCGTTTCTCCAAGCTAAAGAGCCCCAAGCGTTTTAACCTTTTTCCATAGAGAAAGCGTTCCGACCCTTTTATCATTCGAGTTGCCGTTTTCTGCACTTTCCCCAATGCTATAATAAAGGTAAAGGTTCCCTTGCTCGAAAGCCAGTCGAGTCCGACTCTAGGGTTGCGGTGCTCATCTCCGTTTCCAAGCCGAAGAGCCAGTGCTGTCCGAAGACGTTTCCGTGGTCATGTGGCCGGCATGACTAAACACCAAGGCGCACGGAACGCTGCTCCCTTCCCACCGAAGTGGTACCTATTTATCTACTTGCAATTTCTCGCTTTCGGACTGCTAGGCTGGCAGGAGCTGGAACCAGAGACGGGAGCTCACTCCGTCATGCGGCGCACTCGGGTCTCGAACCGCTGAACTACTGACCTTCCACAGCCTGCAGTTCAGCGTCTTAACCACTTGAGCCACCACAGCTCCTAATAGCCAATAGCTATAATATTACTTTCATTCAAAACAGAACCATACCGAACCTCACCCACAGCCATTTCTTTGGGTTGGCCATACTTACTCCCCGTTCGGTAGCCAAATTCTATGTGGGATCTGCCACGAGAAAGCAAGGGAACAGAAGCGACAGCGGGGAATGCACTGTACCAGTGACACATGGGCATGAATGGATTATGGAGCAGGACTTAGAAGTTTTAAAACCTTGGGAAGTCTCTCAAGACCCTCGGCAGAGGGACGTTGCCCTTTTCATGTCATTATAAAATTTATTTATCTATTTGTTTAATTGGATTTCGCTCGGCCGCCCTTCCCTACAAGTGGAGTCCAGGGTGGCTTACAGCAAAATAATACACCATTTTCAATGTAAGGCTAAGTTAAAACAAACCAAATAAATATCGATAGATTAAAAACAGCTTGCATACAATATATAGGATTGGCGGAAAGAATTATACAACAGCCATATAAGCTGCAGTGGCTCAAGTGGTTAAGACGCTGAACTGCAGGCTGTGGAAGGTCGGTAGTTCAGCAGTTCGAGACCCGAGTGTGCTGCATGACGGAGGGAGCTCCCGTGTCCAGCCCCAGCTCCTGCCAACCTAGCAGTTCGAAAGCAAGACATTGCAAGTAGATAAATAGGTACCACTTCGGTGGGAAGGGAACAGCATTCCGTGCGCCTTGGTGTTTAATCATGCCGGCCACATGACCATGGAAACGTCTTCGGACAGCGCTGGCTCTTCGGCTTGGAAACGGAGATGAGCACCGCAATCCTAGAGTCGGATTCAACTGGCTTTCGAGCAAGGGAACCTTTACCTTTTACATATCAAAAACAACACCAGAACAATAGTGATAACACAGTACAAACAAACAAGCACTGTATAAGTAACGCAGACCATGGAGTGCACAAAGATCATGCAAAGGAAAATTATATTGTAGCAAAAGCAAAACTAACAAAAACAACAAGGGACCACATATCTGTAAAGCAAGATTACATCATAAAATGTGCAAGACCATAAATAGTATAAAGGTAAAGTAAAGGTTCCCTTGCTCAAAAGCCAGTCGAATCCGACTATAGGGTTGCGGTGCTCATCTCCGTTTCAAAGCCGAAGAGCCAGCGCTGTCCGAAGACATTTCCGTGGTCATGTGGCCGGCATGACTAGACACCAAGGCGCACGGAACGCTGTTACCTTCCCACCGAAGTGGTACCTATTGATCTACTTGCAATTTCTTGCTTTCGAACTGCTAGGTTGGCAGGAGCTGGAACTAGAGACGGGAGCTCACTCCATCATGCAGCACCCGGGTCTCGAACTGCTGAACTACTGACCTTCCACAGCCTGCAGTTCAGCGTCTTAACCACTTGAGCCACCACAGCTCCATAAATAGTATACATAAGTTCATAAGTAGTTGACGAATACTCTGGATTTTGATCTTCGTTTCGAGGGTTCTTCTTCAAAGAGTTCAAACTACTTCATCAAGTACTGATCATGTACAGACGACTTCAATCATGTATATGTAGGAAAAATCCTTCACACAGCACTGATAAAACATAGACTAGTAATACAGGAAAAATTCAGTCCTAATACTCATATAAAGCCGGGCATCCACTCATAAAGCACAGACTAGTAATACAGGAAAAATTCAGTCCTAATACTCATATAAAGCCAGGCATCCAATCAGTAGTGGAACATGTTCTCAACATTTATGTACATATTCCGCCAGAGCGTTCCCTGGTTGAGGACAGCCGGAGTTCTCTCAGGCCAGGGACCACCAGGATGTTCTAATTTCCTGAGCATAATGCTCTTCCAGGGTCCCTGACCGCTAAGGGCCTTGAAGGTGTATAGAAATATTGAAGGTCAAAACCAGCACCTTCAACCTGATCCGGTGCTCCACTGGAAGCCAATGCAGCTCACGCAGTACTGGTCGAATGTGTGCCGTCGGGGTGGTGGTGGTGGTCGTAAGGACCTGCGCGGCTGTGTTTTGGACCAGTCGAAGCTTCTGGGTCAGGCCCGCGTAGAGCAAATGACAGTAGTCTAGCCCGGCGGTGACCGTTGCATGGATTACGGTGGCTAGGCCGGGGCGAGACAGGTAGGGAGCCCGTAATTATAAAAAGGACGTTAGCACGGCTTCCGAAATACGACTGTTTACACCAAATGCATTAATCATATCGCAGTTGTATGTAGTTTGATTGTTTAACTCCGGGTAGGGGCTGGGTCTCTCCCAGGCTACTTTAGGGGGTGGACTGTATATGTCATTAAACCCTCCTGAGCTCCCTCCTCAGTTTGGTGTAGTGGTTAAGTGAACGGACTCTGGGTTTGTTTCCCCATGCCTCCACATGCAGCTGCTGGTGTGACTTTGGATCAGTCACAAGTTCTCTTAGAGCTGTTCTCTCAACGGCAGTCCTCAAAAGAGCTCTCCCAGCCCCACCTACCTCGCAGGGTGTCTGTTGTGGGGAGGGGGAAGGGAAAGGAGTTTGTAAGCCGCTCTGAATGAAGGGCAGGGTATAAATCCAATCTCTTCTCTTTTTCTTCCCTGAATCCAGCCCTCCTAGACGACACCCTCCCCAAATCTCCAGGAAATTCCCAACCCAGAGTCGGCAGCCATAGTTATTGTTCTTCATTCCCCTGCTAGCTAGCGGCTGGGTAGTTATCTGCATGTCCACCACTTGGGGACCTGATCCTGAGGCTAGAAATAAGGGTTGCCAAGCTCCAGCTGGGGCCTGGAGATCTCCTGGATTTACAGCCCCATCTCTAGACAACAGAGATCAGTTCCCTTGGACGAATATGGCTGCTTTGGAGGGTGGACTCGAGGGCATTAGACCCTGCCGAGGCTCCTCCCCGTGCCAAATACCACCCTCCCCAGGCTCCACCCCCCCAAATCTCCAGGAACCCCCAACCTGGAGTTGGCAACCCTAGGCTAGACTATCATTTTGACTCATCACTTCCAACGCTCCCTCTAAGCTGTGGAGTCTGGTGAGAAAAAATGCCACTTTGTGAGCTACTGGCATTAAAGTGGTGGGCGAGCGATTTGGCTCCTCCAGTCCCACACTCTGTGTCACACAGTGACACAGAGGGCCATCAAGAGGGGGCCATCAAGAGGTCCACCGCTGAGGCCAGAGCTCCAGAAGCCCTCCCACTCTTGCCCCCCCCCAAGCACCAAGAGCCAGTTTGGTTAAAGAGCGCGGACTCTAATCTGGGAGAACCGGGTTTGATTTCCCCACTCTCTCCACATTGCAGCTGCTGGTGTGACCTTGGGTCAGTCACAAGTTCTCTCAGAGCTGTCCTCTCACGGGCAGTCCTCGGGAGAGCTCTCTCAGCCCCACCTGCCTCACAGGGTGTCTGTTGTGGGGAGGGGGAGGGAGTCTGTAAGCCGCTCTGAGACTCGGAGTGAAGGGCAGGGCATAAATCCAAGTTTGGTATAGCGGTTAAAGAGTGCGGACTCTAATCTGGGAGAGCCGGGTTTGATTTCCCCACTCCTCCACATGCAGCCGCTGAATGACCTTGGATCAGTCACAAGTTCTCTCAGAGCTGTTCTCTCACAGGCAGTCCTCGGGAGAGAGCTCTCTCAGCCCCACCTGCCTCACAGGGTGTCTGTTGTGGGTTTGGTTTGCCTCCGGAGCCACCCTTCCCGAGCTAAGCCAAAATAAAGTGTGAGCCGGAGGCTAAAAAACGGTGAGCTGGCTCACACTAGCTCAGCTTAGAGGGAACACCCCAGGCAGTGAGGTCATGGCTGTCGATTGGCCAGAGGCCTGACTCTGCACGCCATTCTCCCCTCCCCTTTGCAACTGGCTTTTTGCAACCAAAAACAGGCTCAAGAAACCCGCACAGTAGCGCGCGAGCAAACGCGTAGGACGCGGGAGGGGGGGTTGCGCGAAGGCGGGGCTTGGGGAGAAGGGGGCGGAGCTCCAGCAGCGGCCGCCCGGAGCAGCCAGAAACCGGCAGAGTAGGAGCCAGTGGGCGTGGCTTCGAGGAAAGGCGTGGCCAGAACGCTGGGAGAGCCACTAAGGCGACGCGTGGGCGCGGCCTGAGGCAGAGCGCGAGCGCCCGGCCGGCCCGGGGATTGAAAGAGAAGGGGGCGTGGGCTCGAGGCGAGTGGGCGTGGCCGCTATATAAGCCAGCGGGCGTGGCCGCGTTCCCTTTCATTCCGGAGGGAGCGTCGCCGCGGACGGGCGAGCCATGAACGGGGCGCGGAGCCTCTGTACGCTGGTGGATGTGCGGAGCGAGGAGGACAGCTTGGTAAGGCGCCTGCCGCACCGCCTGTCTCTTGAGTCGCCGGAACTATTTCTTTCCTTTTTTTCTTTGCAATCCCATTGTTTCAATGCAAAACCCGCTTGATGTTTAAAAAAACAACCGCGGTGGGAAATCCAAGGGCGCGTTTTATTATTATTATTTTTTTAATTGCATGATTTGACTGTTCCAAACCCTGAAAGCTTTCTTCGAAGCTTTAATTACTATTTTTATTTTGCAATATTGGATATTAAAACACTCCCAGCTGCCGTTTTAACCTTTG